ATATATATATATATATATATATATATATATATATATTTCTATTTATCTTTATTTGTTAACACTGCTACTAGCATTAGCATCTGGTTAAATGATTACACTAAAACTCTAAGGTTCATGTATTTAAACTTATTACACAATACTCAAATACGTGATTCTGATAGGTCAGTCGCAACATAACACCGAATATCACACCGCTCATCTGGTTATTTTGTGCCAGTGCATCTTTCACATTTCTTATATCACACTGCTGTGATCTCTCTAGTTTCATTCAAACACAACTGCTATCATCTTATGCCTGTATTTACTGTAAAATGAAACCAGAAGACTTCAGTATTAATAGTAGGCTTACTGTAACGTTATTATTGAAGTGTTTGTCTTGTTGACAGAATGATTGTTTTGTACACTCTAATGGATTTAAGATAATAAACAAGTAAGACTTTAAAACGCTTTCTTCTCACCTAAAGTTTTATTATGTCCTCGTCTTTATTTTTGTGATGAAAAGTTGTCTAGTTAGTGATACATTATGCCTTAAATGTCTGTCTTGTCTGAAATGCGTCTAGGCTCAAAGCCATTTGTGAAGCTTGCGTTTAAAGAGCTAATAAAATATTTTAACTCAAATCAATATTCTGATTATTTACTTATGTGGTAAATAGTTTCGCATCGGGGTCCTGATCATCCTGTCGGAGTTTATTCTGCGATAACAACTGGCTGGATGTACATTATCGCTTACTTAAAAATGACACATTTAAACTTACAAATATAGATTCAAACTTCAAATTCAAACTACTACTACTACTACTACTACTACTACTACTACTACTACTAATAATAATAATAATAAGAATAAAGTATGCACAATACAAACATGCATAAAAAGTTTTTATTTTTTATTTTTACTTGTGCAGGACAGCGAGATTGATCTGATCCTCCTGTCATAGAATTGAATGCATGACGAAGTCTTCAGATACAATTAATGCTTCCTTAGCTGAAGGTAATACATCACTGACCCTTTCGAATGCCTCAGAACACAGGCCGATTCACAGCGACAGCTACCCCCCCACCTGCGCATGCTAGCACAAGCTCTTCAGCCATGACGTCCTTTTGATTCTGCAGCTATTAGAGACAATCTGTGTGCCCAGGCATCTCATTATCCAGCATCTTCATGAAGCCAGTCTATTTTCATCCCTCACTGCAGCTGCCGAAACATATAATACAGCATTGCACACTGCACACCATATGCCACCCTCTCTAACTCGTTCATTTCTTAGATTCTCTCTTTTTTGTCTCTACCTTTCTTACTCTAACATCTTTCTTCCCCTCTCCTCCCAGCATATGTTCATCCCTGAGAGCACGCAGCACATTTACGAAATGAAGAGAGACACCAAAGTAAGGCTAACACAAGTCAACGATAGCCTGAAGGTGAAATGTATTCACAGGTTAAAAAAGTGGGACATTGCTCGACAAACTTTCATTTCATTTCACTGAACATGACAGATATTAATTCCTAGGATAGTTCTACTGTGATGTAGTGAGTAGTAGTAAAAAATATTCCTTTATCAACATCCGCCACTGATTATGAAACAATAAATCATGTTAAATCAATCATGAGCATCAGTGCACAAAAATGTAAACAAGAAGTAAAAGAAATGTTGCTTCGAATCAGTGTTGTACCTGGACAGGGGACGAAACACGGCTGCTGCAGTTCCTGCTCGCTTTCCTTTCTCACTCGGTCTCCACATTTCTCGTCCTCTACCGTTTTCGAAGGGTAGGGGTTGTCCGGCCAGTCTGACCAGTGCACCACACACGTCAGGTTCCTCTCCCTCTTGCCCTCTCCACAGTCTGCCCCCTGCACAAAACCGCGTGGCTGACTCATTAATCTGGACGAGCTGTGAGCAGTGAGGCAGAGGAGCTTATTACAGTGACACCTCTCTCTGAATGACTGACAGCTGGGATTGAAACATGCTATGGCATTTCTCATGAATGTGAGTATGTGACCTGATCACACAGCTGAGGTTTCAACTATCACAGCAAAAAATGTTATCAGTATTTTTGTCCTATTTGCCAATACAAATATCTAAACATCCTAAAATAAAAAACACACACAATATTGCATAAGATATTTGTTTTCAGAGACCTTTTGTAATTATATCTATTTTATAGATATTATTATCTATATATTTTTTGTTAAATTTAAATTTAAATTAATAATTTAACATTTTTAAAGTTGCTTTTGTTTAGTTGTAAGTATAAATCTAACAAACTTCTGTGATAGTTCACCCAAAAATGAAAATTCTGTCATCATTTACTCAGCCTCAAGTTGTTCCAAACCTGTAAGAGTTTCTTTCTTCTGTTCAACACAAAAGAAGATATTTTGAAGAATGTTGGTAACCAAACAGCTGATGGTAGCCTATGCCTTCAACAATATTTCTATACTATATAAGTTAATAGCTACCATCAACTGTTTGGATAAGAACATTATTGAAAATAAAGGGTGAGTAAACGACAATTTTCATTTTTGGGTGAACTATCCCTTTAATGCCTTAAATTCTTGTCATAAACAACTTTTGCCTAAAGCTAAAGTTTGTAAGATTTTTATGTCAAAATACATTATCTTAATCAGCTCAGCCAATGGTACGAGTTTGGGGTGTGGCTACTGTGGCAGGCTGAGCCAGAGGATGTTTAGCTGGTGTGGGACCACAGCTGACACGTGACATTGAAAAGAAATTCAGATTCGGTTACAGAAGTGCAGTGTTTGGGTTTCAATTGAGACAATGAACCTGCACTGTTTCTTCTCGATAGGTAAGCTAAACCTACATTTGTGTCACACATTGGGTCTTAACTGTCAAGCCCCAGATAAAATAATAAGATATTGTAAGAATAAGAATCATTGTAAGGGCATGATGAGTTAAGTGGAAGGGGCATTTGCAAATAGGTGACACTATTAGTGCAGAAACTGTATACTTCACCTTTAATTAATTATATAAAAAATAATTAAAATACTGATATATATATATATATAAACACTTTTTGCAGTTTTCACTTACAACACTTTTTCTTCACTCTTCCATGAAGTTCATGGAATGTTTAACCTCAATATCACATTTCTTCCTGTTGTTATTGCATGTGTTACAAATTTTCTTTTCCAATTAAACATAATTTGCCTTGCAAATGTTAACTATGAAAATTGCATCTTTTCAGATTTTTGGTTTAGCATGTCTCTAGAATTGTATGTAATAACACAAAAAAAGTACCGATGTCGGTACCAGTCGGTACTGAAATTTTTATAATGTGACGATACCAGCATTTCCAGCCATTGTGTTCTCGTGCTCAACAGATATGTCTGTGATTGGCTACAATGACCATCGCTTCACACTCTTCACCGAGCTCTTACACAGATATTTGCTCATAGACGGATCCGCTGATAAATGTGGCTGACTCACACATATCACAGAATTGTGTTAATGTTTATGAATATAAAAGTGTCCATCAAACCAAGCACCAAAGAAAGCACAAATAGATGTTAAAAGTGTGCAATGTTTCTTTTGTTCATATTATGAGGAGGACAGCTTTTGATCTGGCCAAGCACGACTCCAGGGACATGTGCAAAACCCCAAGACATACAATTAAAATCCTTTGCAGATACAAAGGAGAGAGGAGAGAAAAGCAGAAGAGAGGAGATGAAAGTCTGAACTCTGCCACTGTTCTCCTCTAATGATGAGATCGTGGATCGCAGCATGATTTTAATCACGTTACCTCACGTCTCAATGACACAAAGTCCCTCTCTCCCACACACAAACTCGGCATGTGTGCAATTTCTACAAAATTCAATTAAAGAACTCAAGTGTTGTGCCAGTAGCAGATAGGTATGCCGGGCGGCTGGTCTCAACACCACTTCATATGGTCATATGAAACATTGAATGCCCTCAGGTTAGGTGATGTGCAATAACCAGTAACTGCAGAATACATGCAGATCCAATTATTTTTGCCCAGAATCTACCTCCACTGTGCAGGGAGACCAATCGCTCAGAAGCCACGTGTAGCAGGGGCTGATGGGACAGGGTTTGGTCTGGGAAAGCTGAGAGGCGCACGGGCGTCCCTCCTCATGAGCTTGCTGAAGCATGCTGCGAGAGCGAATCATAACACCTGCAACAGAGATGTACGTGAAGAGACATCTGTGAATGCACTGTATGAAAATATGGCAAACAGCAGAGGATGGGCTAAAAATACATCAAGCCTGCATTAGAGTCTCTAGCAGCTTGGGACAATGATGTGGATTCATGCATTATTCACACGTATAGTTGCAATATTTATAAACTGTACAATTCAGGAATAGACAGAAACAGTCATCTGAGATGGCTCAAGATCATCTTACACCAGTATGAATTTCATGTTGGTCCAGGCCAGTTTAGGCATGTTTAAAACTTCGATAATCTAAACAAAGACCAAAATAAATTATTTAATATTTATTCAATAAAATAAATATACTTTTTTAGTGTATTTGTTAGATGTCAGTGCATATCAAGGAGACCGTGCCAGTAATGAACCAATTTAAATGAACCATTTACACTGATTCTGAGCTGTAAGACCTAAAAATGATTTCTTATCCAGTGGCTCTCTGTGCTGGACAACAAGCTGCTGCTGCATAAAACACTTTCACAAAAGAATGAGATTAAACACAATTAAAAAACTAAGACATGGTGGAAATCATTTTCAAAAAAAAAAAAAAAGACTCCTCCTGTGATGTATATATGCCCACTGTTAGACATTGTTAATGAACAAGTTAAGTAAATTAATGAGAAAGGTTTTTCTACAAGTCCACAGGCCCAAAATTGTCCATATGTGAAGAAACACCAGTAAACAAAAATGAGATTTGAGAGTTACACAAAGATTCTGAGTGATTAATGACTTTAATTTCTTTCTGTTCCTCACACACATCTATCATATGACAGAACACTTGGTAATCTACACAGCGCACAATGATACTTATTTGCTCTTTTCGGAGCTTGACAGCACTTGGTCTTCATTCACTTTCAATGTATGGAAAAGAGCAGCTTGGACATTTTGCAAAACGTCTTCTTTTGTGTTCCACAGAAGAATGAATGACATGAGGGTGAGTAAATGATGAACAATTTTACACACCAGGGATATATAGAAGTTCACTGCATATAGCAGCTCTAGGCCTGCCTAACATCACAGTAGCGTTAACTAGAACAGGACGTCCTAAATTAACATGGAAACTGACAGCACTGAAGCTTAGGCCAAGCTTTTCAGAAGAATACAGTTTTGGGGCTATCACTCCATTCACCCAAATTCTGAAGAAAAAAAAAGGGAAAATACAGACCCTTCGTAATTGTATAACTGAACTGAATTCTAGTGAGTTTGACTGTAAAGAGCCCTCCTTCCAGTCGAGCATTAAACATTTAACAAGAAGAGAAAAAAAATGAAATTACATTCACAGCACAACATAACTGCTCATCAAATTCATGTTTTGTGCTGCCTGCAAGAGCCGCCTCTACAGCTGGCCGCTTCAAGCATGTCATTCATTAAAACAGAAGCACTCCGGCCAGATGAGGGAGCCCTTAAAATGACATGATTTGACAGAGGAAATATCTCTACTTGATCCTGTAGGAAGATGGAGGAGGGTTGGGGGGAAGTAGATAGAAAAGAGGGCTAGAATGAAGAAAGAAAAAAGGGGAAAGCACAGAGTTCTTTAGGTTTCCTGAGCTCCACTTCCAGATGCATTAAAACTCTGTGCATATATACAACACATAATGAACCCCAATCTCTTGGTCTCCAGTGAGGTGTGCAAGAGACAACACTGCTTTGACACAGACAATAAATTTCCTTTTTACAGCCAGCACAGCTTGCGTTTATTTCTACACCTGTGTATGTAACCGAAAACATGCTGAGAACTTCCTGTTTGCATAGCCTGAAGAACTCCCTTTGGATTTAAAAAGTAAACTGCCTGGCCGAGATAGAATAGCTGATGGCTGAATGAAAATTAATGAAGATTGTGTTGAACGTGTCTAATTAGGAGAAAAACAAGCTGAACTCCTAAGGAGCTGGGTCATTTGAACTTTAGGGACCCGGGCTGCTCTTAAGACTAGTAATTAGCACATTTTATATTGCATGAAGCAATAACACCGTTCCATCAGGCAAACAGGGCAACAAACACTGAATTCACAATTGCAATTTTGAGAACACTAATGGGTAAAATAAATATTTTCCTTTGACTGATAAATCATTTGGCGTATTCAAACCAAGGAAACCAAGGGTTTTATAACCCAGAGTCATTAACCTGTAGCCGATCCTTAAATATGATTCATGACATAACATCCGTAATTAAAAAGGGATTCCGACAGGGCATGTTAATGAATGCAAAGTAAATGCACACCACCTGATAGTGAGCCTAGAGCAAGCAGAGTGTTTATCTCCATGGAACCCGAGTGCACAGGTTTGTGGGTTAGGTTGCATGCAAATGAAAATGTGTCAGCAGCACAAGAACATTAATTCTGTCAGGACCACTATCGTCAAATATGATTGACAATTAGCATACAGTTTGGATTGGCGGTATGGTTCCGTTCTGGGCAAGAACTCCCTGCGCATCCATGCAGCCTAGCATGGATGAGAGCAGGGAGAGCAGCGATACCCCCCCCCAGGGTAAACAGAACAGAACCAACATAAATGTATTGCAGATATTGTTTAAGTTCAATGATTTTATGTACACATTTTAGAATTAGTCTGATTCAAAGGAGAATCAGAAGGCTGAATCCCGACTGACAGAGGAGGAGCTGGGGATGGAGGAGGGTAATTAGCTATTGAGCAATGCGAAAACTGCTGATAATACTGAGGGACCTTATATATGAATGCTTAGATAAGTGTCGTATTCCCATAGGTAAATGGGGATCAGCTGATGCGAGCTTGACTAACGTGACCTGCCAGAACTAACGCTACACTTGATATATTATTGCAAACTGTAATTTGCAAGCATGTTTCTCCCTGATCCTTCTAAATACTGCTGATTGCTTCTTAAAACTGAAATTATTGCTATTTTGGGCTTCTACCTTTACTAGGATTCTTCTGCAAATTTACTGTACATGAGCAGTTTTGAGAATTAAAGTCTGCATGTTTTGAGTCAAGGTTACTGTCATGGAAGGAAAATGATATTTATTGTGAAAAGCGCTATACAAATAAATTAACGTTCAAAAGTTTTAAAAAATGTTTTTGAAAAAAGGTTCTTATGCTCACAACGTCTGCATTTTTATAGAAAACAGTAAAACCAATAATATTTGAAATACTACAATTAAAAATAACTGTTTTCTATTTAAATATATATTAAAATGTAACTTATTCCTGTGAATAAAAAGTAACTCAAAGTAACGTTCAGAATAAATAGAACGTTCAAAAGAACAGATTTTTTTTACATAAATATATTTTTAACATAATAAATGATTTTTTTCATCAATTCAATGAATCCTTGTTGAATAAAAGTACCAATTTTTAAAACATCATTGAATGAATGAATGAATGAATGAATGAATCAATCAATCAATCAATCAATCAATCAAACTGACCCCAAACTTTTAAATGGTAGTAAACCTTTGTAAATTTAAATTGAATCAAGTTTACACACTTCACAATACTTTAGTTGCTAAAAAGAAGACTTAATGCAAAGTAAATCTTTCCATAAAACAGATTATTTGAATGAATCAAAAGCGATTTTTGCTTTAGTACAATGGCAATATAAAAGTCACCAACATGTCTAATCTTCTCACACAGTAAACTTTTTTTTTTTT